TATATATGTATGTATGTATATAGACACACACATACTTACTATTAAAAGTTCTTGCGGCTCGTCATCTGGGACCTTCTACACTACATCTACACTGTGCTCTTATGGGCCTATATATATATATATATATATGCTATCAATTTTAATTTTCAATAAAATCATAATTTCTTCATTTTCGAAGTTTTTCTTGCTTCATACTCTCTATCATTTGCATCACGTGGGCATGTTCGTACAAATATCGAAAATACTCTATCGTTAGTCAAGATTATTTCAAGTGTGTTTTGAACCATTGAATAATCCTTCAAGATCACGAAGTGTAACATCATACTAAGTTGTGACCTGGGACTCAAAGAGTCGACTTGTATCACCATGAAATATTTATACTAATATTCAATGTGAAAAAGTAACTTATTATCCTACATTAATTTATTAGATAATGGATAATGATGTAGATAAAGACCATAATGCCATGTCATATATTGACAAAAATTGTTTGAATTTTTTATGATAAACATTAAACATTCTATGAACTTAACCTCATCTCTCTATCTAATGACAGAGAACTTTATTCTAATGGCTGATGCAATAGGGTCGCTTGGTGGCTCTAGTGAAGAACATCACACTAAAAATTGACTGGTATATTGTTTTCTCTTCCATGTGGCTTATCCTTTTTTAAGATATTTCTTAACAAGAATCGAGCTGAGGAGAGACTGAAAAATATTGTCTGCTATAATTGCCTTCCTCAAGACAGTTCCACTGCCCCGTCTCTTCGATATTGCTTTTTCTCTTCCTCCATGCCCTATCCCTTCCATAAAAATGTTGAAAAATTACATCAATATTGTGCATATTATATTCATAAAACTTATCATTTATGTTCACGAAATCGAAACGCAGTTTCGTTTTACCGAAATGGATTTGAAAAGATAAAACGATAGATTCAATCATTTACATTCTTTATTTCAAACCTACATGAAATCAAAATAATGTTATTAATTTTCTAAAATCAAATACGAAGGAAGAAATCAGAAAGAATCAAGGAGAGATGCGAATAGTTGAGGCAAGTGTTGGACACTTTATCCTTAAGATGAATTTGCCCTGCATCGATGTTAACGATTTTTCGACAATCATCTCTCAAGATATAACGACCACGTCGAGTTATAGGAGCACTCCAAATGACTTAGACTAACAACTCAAACGGAAATTCCTTTCTACCATCAACATGATTTTGATGCAAGAGTTTTATGCAAATTATCTAAGCATAGAATGAAATGATACGAAATTATGAATTGAATTTCTTGAATTCTTTTGAAGTTATAAAATCCAGACACATGGGGCCAATATATAGTAGTTGAAAATGTATGTCAAAAGACACACTCATACCAAAAAACACTTCTTGGAATTCATAATGATTTGATTCATATGAAAAGACACATCTTTTCATCCATCTCTTTCTAAAATATTCCACAATATTCTATACAATTTTTTTAACAATTTCAAGTATTAAACGTCTTATATTTTTCTTAATTTCTCATTCACCAAATTAAGAATTCTACTTAAATAATCATGTAAAATTGGTCACAACCAATTTTCGATACAAAATTCCAACAAAAAATTATCTTAAAAGGAAATTTAAAAATTACACATTCTGTGTAGGGTGTGTATAT